TAACACTTTAATACTAACACAAGGTTTCATCATTTTACAGTTCAAACTACCTCTAGTGCAGTCTATTCTACCTCAATTTCTTTTTTATCTTTAATACTAACACCAAACCTCAAGTCTATTTCATCAATTTTTATCAGTTCAAACTACCTCTAGTGCAGTCTATTCTACCTCAATTTCTTTATCTTTAATACTAACACCAAAAGCAAGGTTTCTTCATTTTACAGTTCAACAGTTAAACTACCTCTAGTGCAGTCTATTCTACACTCAATTTCTTTATCTTTAATACTAACACCAAAAGCAAGGTTTCATCATTTTACAGTTCAAACTACCTCTAGTTCAGTCTATTCTACACTAATTTCTTTATCTTTAATACTAACACCAAAGCAAGGTTTCATCATTTTCAGTTCAAATACTGCAGTCTATTCTAACAATTTCCTCAAAGCAAGGTTTCATCATTTTACAGTTCAAACTACCTCTAGTGCAGTCTATTCTACACTCAATTTCCTCATCTTTAATACTAACACCAAAGCAAGGTTTCATCATTTTACAGTTCAAACTATCTCTAGTGCAGTCTATTCTACACTCAATTTCTTTATCTTTAATTTAACACCAAAGCAAGGGTTTCATCATTTTACAGTTCAAACTACCTCTAGTGCAGTCTATTCTACACTCAATTTCTTTATCTTAAATACTAACACCAAAGCAAGGTTTCATCATTTTACAGTTCAAACTACCTCTAGTGCAGTCTATTCTACACTCAATTTCTTTATCTTTAATACTAACACCAAAAGCAAGGTTTCATCATTTTACAGTTCAAACTACCTCTAGTGCAGTCTATTCTACATTTCCTCAATTTCTTTATCTTTAATACTAACACAAAGCAAGGTTTCATCATTTTTACAGTTCAAACTACCTCTAGTGCAGTCTATTCTACACTCAATTTCCTTAACTTTAATACTAAGACCAAAGCAAGGTTTCATCATTTTTCAGTTCAAACTACCTCTAGTGCAGTCTATTCTACACTCAATTTCTTTATCTTTAATACTAACACCAAAGCAAGGTTTCATCATTTTACAGTTCAAACTACCTCTAGTGCAGTCTATTCTACACTCAATTTCTTTATCTTTAATACTAACACCAAAGCAAGGTTTCATCATTTTACAGTTCAAACTACCTCTAGTGCAGTCTATTCTACCTCAATCAATTCCAAGGTTTTCATCTTTAATACTAACTAGTGCAGTCTATTCTACACTCCAATTTCCTCATCTTCAATACCAAAGCAAGGTTTCATCATTTTACAGTTCAAACTACCTCTAGTGCAGTCTATTCTACCTCAATTTCTTTATCTTTAATACTAACACCAAAGCAGGTTTTTTCATCATTTTACAGTTCAAACCCTCTAGTGCAGTCTATTCTACACTCAATTTCTTTATCTTTAATACTAACACCAAAGCAAGGTTTCATCATTTTACAGTTCAAACTACCTCTAGTGCAGTCTATTCTACACTCAATTTCTTTATCTTTAATACTAACACCAAAGCAAGGTTTCATCATTTTACAGTTCAAACTACCTCTAGTGCAGTCTATTCTACACTCAATTTCTTTATCTTTAATACTAACACCAAAGCAAGGTTTCATCATTTTACCTCAGCAGTCTAAACTATTTCTTTATCTACTAACACCAAAGCAAGGTTTCATCATTTTACAGTCTAGTGCAGTCTATTCTACACTCAATTTCCTCATCTTTAATACTAACACCAAAGCAAGGTTTCATCATTTTACAGTTCAAACTACCTCTAGTGCAGTCTATTCTACACTCAATTTCCTCATCTTTAATACTAACACCAAAGCAAGGTTTCATCATTTACAGTTCAAACTACCTCTCTAGTGCAGTCTATTCTTTATCTTTAATACACTCAATTTCTTCATCTTTAATACTAACACCAAAGCAAGGTTTCATCATCTTTTTACTAATTCAGGTTTCATCACTACCTCTATTTCCTCTAATTAGTCTATTTCTCAATTTCTTCATCTTTAATACTAACACCAAAGCAAGGTTTCATCATTTTACAGTTCAAACTACCTCTAGTGCAGTCTATTCTACACTCAATTTCCTCATCTTTAATACTAACACCAAAGCAAGGTTTCATCATTTTACAGTTCAAACTACCTCTCTAGTGCAGTCTATTCTACACTCAATTTTTCCTCATCTTTAATACTAACACCAAAGCAAGGTTTCATCATTTTACAGTTCAAACTACCTCTAGTTCAGTCTATTCTACACTCAATTTCTTTATCTTTAATACTAACACCAAAGCAAGGTTTCATCATTTTACAGTTCAAACTACCTCTAGTGTCAGTCTATTCTCACACTCAATTTCTTTATCTTTAATATTCTAACACCTTAAAGCAAAAGGTTTCATCATTTTACAGTTCAAACTACCTCTAGTGCAGTCTATTCTACACTCAATTTCTTTATCTTTAATACTAACACCAAAGCAAGGTTTCATCATTTTACAGTTCAAACTACCTCTCTAGTGCAGTCTATTCTACACTCAATTTCTTTTTATCTTTAATACTAACACCAAAGCAAAAAGGTTTCATCATTTTACAGTTCAAACTACCTCTAGTGCAGTCTATTCTACACTCAATTTCTTTATCTTTAATACTAACACCAAAGCAAGGTTTCATCATTTTACAGTTCAAACTACCTCTAGTGCAGTCTATTCTACACTCCAAGTCATCTTTAATACTAACACCAAAGCAAGGTTTCATCATTTTACAGTTCAAACTACCTCTAGTGCAGTCTATTCTACACTCAATTTCATCTTTAATACTAACACCAAAGCAAGGTTTCATCATTTTACAGTTCAAACTACCTCTAGTGCAGTCTATTCTACACTCAATTTCTTTATCTTTAATACTAACACCAAAGCAAGGTTTCTTCATTTTACAGTTTAAACTACCTCTAGTGCAGTCTATTCTACACTCAATTTCCTCATCTTTAATACTAACACCAAAGCAAGGTTTCATCATTTTACAGTTCAAACTACCTCTAGTGCAGTCTATTCTACACTCAATTTCCTCATCTTTAATACTAACACCAAAGCAAGGTTTCATCATTTTACAGTTCAAACTACCTCTAGTGCAGTCTATTCTACACTCAATTTCTTTATCTTTAATACTAACACCAAAGCAAGGTTTCATCATTTTACAGTTCAAACTACCTCTAGTGCAGTCTATTCTACACTCAATTTCTTCATCTTTAATACTAACACCAAAGCAAGGTTTCATCATTTTACAGTTCAAACTACCTCTAGTGCAGTCTATTCTACACTCAATTTCTTTATCTTTAATACTAACACCAAAGGTTTCATCAAGGTTTCTTCAGTCTATTTACACACTCAATTTCTTTATCTTTAAACTAACACTAGTGCAGTTTCATCATTTTACAATTCAAACATCTCTAATACTAACACCAAAACTCAATTTTTCATCATTAACACCAAACAAAGGTTTCTTCATTTTACAGTTCAAACTACCTCTAGTGCAGTCTATTCTACACTCAATTTCCTCATCTTTAATACTAACACCAAAGCAAGTTTTCATCATTTTACAGTTCAAACTACCTCTAGTGCAGTCTATTCTACACTCAATTTCTTTATCTTTAATACTAACACCAAAGCAAGGTTTCATCATTTTACAGTTCAAACTACCTCTAGTGCAGTCTATTCTACACTCAATTTCCTCATCTTTAATACTAACACCAAAGCAAGGTTTCATCATTTTACAGTTCAAACTACCTCTAGTGCAGTCTATTCTACACTCAATTTCCTCATCTTTAATACTAACACCAAAGCAAGTTTTCATCATTTTACAGTTCAAACTACCTCTAGTGCAGTCTATTCTACACTCAATTTCAGTTCATCTTTAATTCCTAACACCAAAGCAAGGTTTCATCATTTTACAGTTCAAACTACCTCTAGTGCAGTCTATTCTACACTCAATTTCTTTATCTTTAATACTAACACCAAAGCAAGGTTTCATCATTTTACAGTTCAAACTACCTCTAGTGCAGTCTATTCTACACTCAATTTCCTCATCTTTAATACTAACACCAAAGCAAGGTTTCATCATTTTACAGTTCAAACTACCTCTAGTGCAGTCTATTCTACACTCAATTTCCTCATCTTTAATACTAACACCAAAGCAAGGTTTCATCATTTTACAGTTCAAACTACCTCTAGTGCAGTCTATTCTACACTCAATTTCTTTATCTTTAATACTAACACCAAAGCAAGGTTTCATCATTTTTACAGTTCAAACTCCCTCTAGTGCAGTCTATTTTACACTCAATTTCCTCATCTTTAATACTAACACCAAAGCAAGGTTTCATCATTTTACAGTTCAAACTACCTCTAGTGCAGTCTATTCTACACTCAATTACTTTATCTTTAATACTAACACCAAAGCAAGGTTTCATCATTTTACAGTTCAAACTACCTCTAGTGCAGTCTATTCTACCCTCAATTTCTTTATCTTTAATACTAACACCAAAGCAAGGTTTCATCATTTCACAGTTCAAACTACCTCTAGTGCAGTCTATTCTACACGCAATTTCTTTATCTACCATACTATGCTTGAGTAGGATGTGGTATTCTGTTCTGGTATTTAACCAATGAGAGAAGAGATGGATTTCCAGCTTTGCCAAGGTTATTTGTGCATATGTTAATGTAATGAATTTAACTGGTATTTGAACTCATCTCTCCGATTTTTTCCTTCCTAGCTCTCATCCATCACACCTCATGTATCGGCAAACTTACAGAACTTGGTATTCCCAAACGTTTATCCATCTACTTATTGTGCAGTCTCGGTGTTGCTTAAGTTCAGTTACCGGAGGAAAACTGGTATTTTAACATTATATGGCCGTAAGTTTCAAAAAGATACGTTTCAAAAAAAAAAAAAAAAAAAATGGCTTTATATAGAAAGGATTTCTTTACCTCGAACCAGAAATGTCTCAAATTTAGAAGCAGATTTTCCATTTTCTATTTGGCACCAGAGAGTATTTGAAAAGTACGCGTTTACATAGTATGTGACAACACTTTCAATTTTCCGACTACATTGGTTTTGGCTGATTATTCTATTTTCCGCAAAATAAATCTCGTTCGAAGGCGCTATAAAAGATTTATACCATTTCACAGAATATGGACCATCATTACTTATGGTTCCTATGCACGTAAAGGTTGACTTTCGGTTGAAAGTAATGGGAGACATTGATGTTTTACTGATTCTATGAACTGTTGGCAAAACTGAAAGAAAAAAAAAAAACAAACAGTTAAACGAATTATTTTAAAATTGACAGTCAAAAGTACAGTGTTTCCCACCAAACTGACATAATTTAAAATGTAAATATCTGGGTAAATACATGCCCAGGCAAATGAAATTAAGTCGGCTTCATGTTGAAAAATAAGAGATCTATTTATCAAAATTCAAACAAGACATTCAAAGTAATATAGATTTTAAAACCGATTTTACAAAGCTTCACAAATGTTCAATATGCACACCACCTGTGACATGACATATAACAAGTTGATTGTGCTGCTCCTGCCAGGTACGATGTAGTATGTCTTAGTGCAGGCTTATCTCAATCAGAATCTAACAGGAAGATGAATTGGGTAAACTTAAGGAGAGAATCACTTGCGTAAATTTCTCCAGCTTCTCAGTGATCATATGCTTATCTTCTAGGCTTGTAGAAAGATGTGGGATATAGATCTGTTCTTTCACAAAGCCTCATAGAAAAAAATCACATGGTGTCAAGTCAGGTAAACGTGATTCATTGTACCATGCCAGATAATTTTTCTCGTCAGAATCCATCTTGCATGTTGCATCTACCATCCAACAATGCATTAAATATTGCTGCCACACATTCTCGACAAAATCCAAAGACGGGTCTTCAGTGATAGTGATCCTGACCTGATATTTCAACTTCAGTCAGTTTCCCACTGATTTCTACATAAATATTTTCATGGAAACAGTTCTAATGAGCTTAACTTCTTGGTATCTTGACCGCATGAATTTAAGCGCAGTACTAGATTGGTAATTCAATTGATCAAGCGAATACCATTCTCATATCAATGCTGAGAATAGCACAGACGAAGCCTCTGGAGAAGGAAGAGGTTTTAAGGAAATTGGAAGGCTTGGAGAATTTGGTACTTACATGATATATTGAAAACAAGAGGGAAAGAACGACTTTGTCTAAATCGATGACAGAACAAGGACGGAAATGAATAGTAACGGGACAATCATTGCTTAGAGCTCCAAATATGGGAATCTGTAGTCAACTGTGATCTTCCATATCCTAAAGTAATACAACACACAAAAGAAGAAAGCTTCAAGCTAATTGTTAAATGCTATTTCTGCTACTAATAATGTTGGTTTATTGTGTTGTGCCAGATAATTTTTTTTGACAGATTTCATCTTGTATATGCATAAATTTACCATTCGTCTGTGCAATTTATATTGGCACCATATCTGGTCTGGTGCTCCTGCTCTATATCTCGCGATTTTTAACAAAATTCAAAGAAAGGTTTCTAAGTGTCATTGGTCCTAACCTGGTATCTTCCCTTCAGTCACTTTCTCACTACCGTAATGTGACTTTGCAAAGTCTTTTCCATAAATATTTTGTAAATTTTCTTCTCATTGGTTGGGTATCTTCCAATAAAGATGAACGGAAAAAAATCAGCAGCTCTTGAATCAAAAACTGGATCATGATGGTCAGGTCACAAACAAGACTTCCACATGGGAACACCACACCTATGGGATGAACGCAACTGAGACAGCGGAAACATGAACAGAAATCCTTGGTAACACATTGCAATTTCATTATATGGACAACACAACAAACTGCCAAACTACCCCTTCAGAAAATGTGGCTGCTTTTAGGGAGCATAAGACTTCAGTTGTTGGCTAGCAAAGGAATTATTTGCATAGTTAAGACCACTCAGCTAACCATCCCAACTATCATGAGGAAGCTGGTAGATAATTCCTTTGTCCATCAGTAGATGTTCTGAGGTTCGCACCGGCTATGTTCTGACAGGGCAACAACGTGCCATTTTTCTGCACAGACAACACACTAAATGTAATCTCTGACCTGTAGAATTTAGTTGACCAGACAGTACTCGACTGTATTAGAAGATGAGTCTGCTCTGGCAACTCACTGGGCCAGTTGGTGAGTGGTTTGTGGTTTTTATAACAGACAGGAGCTGCTTACTTTGGTTACGATACTGTGCTCAATAAATATCCATCACTACACCGTAAATACACGGTCTACGTATTAAGTTTCGTCGCGTTTCGTCTTGGTTAAAATGTAAGTACTTTGCTTTTGTTTGTAGGATGCGTATTCACGTGCGGCCCAATTTACTTTTCATCTGGCAATTGGACGCCAGTTGCAACTTTCTGCATCGGAAATCTACGCATGTAGACTGCGCGTAAGAAGTCTTGTTTCTTTTTCTTTGACGTTGGATATTGTTTTGTGTTTGTCAGCATTGTTTTTAGTGTACTCTTGGTTTAAATGTGTCAGGGAAATAACCTTCCGCTATGGTGGGGGTCTCCCAGGAAAAAGGAGCTTTTGGCCACAAATCCAGTAACTACATCAACGTCTGCTTGGACTACAGAAAGGCCCAAGAAAAGCCGAGCTACTACAGCTGCCTGAGAGAAGAGTAGACAGAGTACATCTCAGGAAATGAGTTAATTGCGGGGCCGTTTGTGATGGTGGCGGTCAAAAGGAAAAGGCCCTGAAGCCCTTAAAAATCTCTGCCCAAGTGTTGGCCCGCAGATCAAATGTCACATAGGTAATCCTGTAGTCAACAGAAGAGGCGGTTAAGGCGTTGGTTGGCAACGTCCTTACCACCTAATCCATCCGTCTCCAAACGAAATACATGGACACCAGTAAGACCAGGATTACCTTACACAAGGTGCCCATGTACATCATTGAGGACCATCTAGGACCTACTTTTCGATTTATGGACTGATGAACGAGGTTTTCGCAGTAAAAGGGAAATCTGGCATTGCCACAAGTGATGTCGGACTGATATTGAATCTAACTTGGAAAATTTTCAACAACGTTCCAAATGTGCTCCCATGTGGTGGGCGAAATATCTATGTTGTTGTGGAGGGGCGTTGTCCTTGCTGCTTGGCTTGCGGTTCCTTGGGGCACCTGGCGAAATTTTGTCCCGGAAAGAACCCGGCACCACAAACACAATCAAGAACGGAGCAGCCCAAGGAGGAAGTACCCCACAGGGCCCCTAGTGGTCCCAGGGAGTGGATAGGGTAGTAAGATAGAGATCTAAGAGGGCAAATCGGCCTCCCCAGCAGAATGCCTCCAGCAAAGGAGCAGCTAAATCAGCGGAAAAGCAACTGAAACAACAGCAGAAGCAGCGAGAGCAGAAGCAGCGGAAGCAGCGAGAACAACAGACAGAACGGCATCCCAAGGAAAAAGAAAACCAACAACAGCAACAACAACAGTTTGAACACCAGGTCCTACGAAGAGGAAGACCGGGACGTTAAAAGTACAAGAAAGAAAAGCAGATCTGGTCGGAAGAGGGCGGAGAAGGCTCTGGTAGCAACCAACTTCCAAACGGCACCTACTTCACTTGCAAGACTGGATTATAAAGGTAAGGCAAGACGCCCCTCTTTCTCCCTTTTCTAGGGCTCCGGTTTTCTCCCTCTCTTTCCCCAAACTCTTCGCAAGACACAGGGCTGCTCTCGAGAAGGACCTTTCCTCACAGAGGAAGGGCCTATTGAAACCATTATTTAAATAAACTTCCGTGAATTTGCCATCCACAGTAGACCCTCGTAATTTCCCGGATGATCCGGGAGTCATCACCCTCATAAGAAATATGGGTGGTGGCCTAAAGGTATGGAAACATCTAGGTGCAGCCAAGGAGGCATTTTAGAAAATCCGGATGGTCCAGTTCGAGGCCCCGTATCTGTAAAGGATGGCAAAACTGTGTGCAGGGATGGTCCCAGTTCGGCTCCACCCACCTTTATATAGGGCCTTAAAGCTTACATACCCAACGGACGTTGGAGGTATTCTCTCTCACGTTCGAATTACGACTAATATAGTAACCGGTAGAATGGGACATCCATCGTGGTCCCGACTCACACAAATTTCTTGACTAGATTATTGTATCGTGAGTTAGTGTAGGGGGTCGAGAATTATCCTCTGTGCAGTCGGCTCGGCTTGTCGGCATCTGAGTTGCGCTCTTTCTGGATAGCGGTAGATTATCTCAACATCCCTGAGTTTTCGCTTAGCTGGCGATTGATTCGCAACGCGCTACCTCTCAGTTGCATAACCTTCAGATGAGATCAGGCATATTTGCCAGACTGTCATCAATATGACCTAGGCTTAGAGAAAACTGCTTTACAAGTGCGCCCGTGAGATTATGTCGGCGAGTTGACGGCTCGTATCGCTTCCGATCGGCTTGTGTCCATTGCTCTTGCGACAATGTACCGTCCACGTTCTCCGGGGTAAAGCAGATTGTGTTTTTTGCTTTGCCAGCCCCGGCAAGAATAGTGGTGAAACGCCTCGAAGGAGGGAATCTTACGAGATGAACGTTATTTGCATCAGGATCTGATTGTTTTCTTTAAGCATCAGCTTAGGGCAAAAATCAGATCTGATGGAAAGCGTTTAATTTCGACAAATTTCAGCAAAAGATGGGCGACTGATGTGTGCCTGGTTGATTACAAACAAATGAGATAGAAGGCATACTTCTGTTTGAATAATAACCAAAATAAACATCAAGCCAGTGAATATTATTGTTTTAAGACCTCTGTCCACCCTCACCATATTAAGGAATTAGATAGATTCTAATTTTTGTTTTATAACAATCAAAGATCATAAAAATAATTTTTTAAATAATCCTGAATGCCGACTAATAAACCCCACCAAAACGCAATTGGGTAAAGTTAGTAAAGTTATATTACAGGAAATATGCAAATCGTTAAGAACTTTCTTAAATATTAATCAATGGCGTTCCACTTACGACTGCATTAAATGGTTTAGGAAATACAATAAAAATAATAGACGTTCGTTTATTAAGTATGACATAAAAGAATTTTACCTATCGATTACGGAAAAAACCTTTAATGAGGCCTTACTGTTAGCCAAGGGCTTCATATCAATTTCCAATGATAAAATAGATCTTATCAAACATTGTCGTAAATCATTGTTATTCCACAATAAAGGGTTATGCATCAAAAAAGCTGATAAAGGCAATTTTGACAATCCCATGGGGGAAGGTGACTGAGCAGAGGTAGGCGAGTTTGTCGGATGCCTTCGGCTTAATAATTTAAACATGTGAACCCTAATAACTATAGTCTGTACAGGGACGATGGATTAATTATAGTTGACAAAAGCAACCCTAGGAAATGTGACATAATCCGAAAAAAAGCTTCACTGTTTTTTTTTTAAATTCGGATTCAACCTAGACATAGAAATAAGCCTAAAAGTTACCAATTACCTGGATATTATATTAGATTTACGGGATGATACTATTTCACCATATAGAAATGAGAATCAGTACCCGTAATACATAAACGTAGGTTCTAATCACCCAGCACATATCTTGAAACAGATAACTAAAGGCATTAATCATAGATTGTCCACAAATTCATCAAATAGCAATATTTTTAATGCAAATAAAATAATCTACAAACAGGCTTTAGTGAAAAGTGGACATAACGATAAACTAGAATATATCAATATAAATAATAACCATAGAATGCAAAATAAACACAGAACTAGAAATAGGAATACATTATGGTTTACCCCCCCCCCACCATATAATTCTACGGTGAAAACTAAAATAGGAAAAGTATTCTTTAGACTACGCGAATAAAATTTCCCACAAACTAGTGCATTATATAAAATATTTAACAATTTTTGAAATGGGAAATATTAAAGAAATGGCATAAATATAAAGCAGGTAATAAGGTTTGTCCTCTATGTATAGAGGAAAAGTTAGCAATCGCTTTATTTAAAGAACCTAATAATTTGCTAAATTCAAAAACGGAAATCTTAAGAAAGTGGAGACATAGAAAATGGTTGTTACTAAAATAAGTTTGTTTTTCTTCTCTTTTTTTTAATATATGATTTTGAATAAATATGGTCACATATACGCACATATGCGCGTATATATGTGTGAATGTATATATATATATACTCACTCATATATATATATACACTGACACATACACACACACATATATATATATATATATATATATATATATATATATATATATATATATATATATATTGCTTCGAACGTTATTAAAGTGGATAGTCGTATTTGAAATAAATGCCTCGTTTTTATTTTTTTCGGCCTGTGAATTTGTGTAGTCGTAAGAAAGAAAATATAAATATATTCTCCAGCGGAGATTGATCGTGCGTATCAGTAAATCATTTTTGTCTAAAAAAAATATTACAAATTTTAAAATATTTTCTAGCTTTAAATAACCCAGCAAAATAAAAAAAAAAGATAAATCAGTCAATTTTTGAAGACAGATTTTACAATTCCATGCAACCAAATTTTCAATATCTTACCTTTTAGTGTTTTTTTTTCTGAATCCACTATCCCATTATTTCCGTGTCCTCTACAGACGTACCATGTGAAATCACTACAGGTTACCCAGGAAATGGCAAATGTCAACGAGACGTCAGGGTATAGGCTCCAATTGTTTTTTAGAGAGACTCTTAATGTAAAAGTTTCTAGCTTATATTCACCTTCATTACTATTGTACGTTGCTAAAGTTTTGGCGCCTCCCTGAAGTAATGAAATCTTTTCCAATCGGTAAGCAGTGCTGAAATCACATTTTACATTGAGAGTGTCTAGCGAATTCATACTAAAATATGAAGGCATGGACAACTGTGCAGTGGGACCTGAAAGCAGAAAACTAGTGTAAAGAAAAAAAAAAGAATTAAAAGATTCCAATAAACAAATAAATATTTTAAAACCATTTGACTAGACGTAAGGTGAGTAAGAACTGTCCAATTGTTTTATATTTCCGGGCGCTTTCGGCTATACCTTTAGCCATTATCAAGGATGATTCGATTTTCAGCTTAATTGAGTGTGTGCGTTCTGTGTATGTCTTAGTATGTGGTAGGGATGTTTTTAATTTCCGAATACGGTTAGCACATTGTGGCTTTGTTCGTAGTTAATATTGTTAAGAGTTGGCTTTTTTCTTTTTTTCTTATTAAAGCTTCCATTATTTTTAGTCTTTTTTTTGCAGGTGGATGAAGTTAATATATTTGTGTTTTCTACTAGTACGTTCCTAATGGAGTCTGGTAAATTTGTGTGTGTGTTTAAATGGGTTCTAATGGAGCTGTGATCAGATAGGTGTAACGTAAGACGTCTGGATAAGCATGTGGTTGTGTAACCGATGTAATTATTTATGAGTCCGTTTTGATCAGGAAAACAGTTCCTTATGGGACATTTGAACTCATAGATAATGTTCGTTCTTTGTAACATCCCCACTACACACTAAAACATACACATAATGTACACACTCAATTAAGCTGAAAAACGAATCATCCTTGATAATGGCTAAAGGTATAGCCGAAAGCGCTCGGAAATATAAAACATTTGGACACTTCTTACACACCCTTTGTCCAGAAAAGAAAGATCTTGTTAGAACACAAGAAAAATTAAATAAAAAGCTTAACCGTAGTACCTTGTCTGTCGTTTTTAATGAAACATGCATAAAGGAAGGATTGCTGCCTAAATATACAACTCTCTCTCTCTCTCTCTCTCTCTCTCTATATATATATATATATATATATATATATATATATATATATATATATTTATTTAAAAATTATAATATAAATATGTTATAAAATCATTACAAAAATAGCCATTTTGTTTCAACACCTCTGTTGTCTTATCAAATGATGATGTTGAATGTAAAATAAATGGTTTTAAAAGTTTCAAATTAATAAACGATCCTCCGTAAGGGGAAAACACTTTTACAAAAGCTAGATTGACCATTCAAAACACAAGTGTAGGAGAATTCAAAAAACTTGACAACGAAATAAGGTTATAATAGCTATTCAGAGTTTTAAAATTGGGGTTATATTAAAAAGAATTTATTCTAACCAATAATTATTAAATTATATGAAAAAATTTGATATTAAAATTAAAAGTAAAAAATTACCAATTTTAAAATCTAAATTTAATCTCTATTAAGTTTAAAATTATAAAATTACTGAAGAGAAAAGAAAAAATACATGTTATTCAATTTATTTCTCCATTGAAATTACGTTAGAATAGACGCTAATGTCGAGGGTCTACCAGACAAAATGTATACATTTTAATCCCATGTGTGTGAATGGGATCCTGACCTCTCACGTAAAACAATACAAACACACTCAGATTATAATACATCAGCACCCAGACATATTTAGATATATACACACACAAAAAGTGACGAGGCAGGAAACATATCCACGGCCCTTTATAAAAAAAAGAAAAAAAAACGAACACATACATACATACACAATTAAATGTGCATGTATTTTCCATACACATTGACACCAATAAATACATGTACACACATCCACATACATTGACCTAGACAATCTTATAACACAACCAAGAAATATTCAAGACTGAAAGTGTTATTAAAAGAATGCTAACCACTTATTAAAATATAACTTATACGGGCAAATATAGAAAGATAAAAATGCTTAAAAATAACATTATCTAATATATAAAAAACGAAAATTCCAAACACACAAATATCTATAAAAATATATATTTTAATCATATAAATCAATATATGCCTTATTATATATTAGGTGAAAGAAAATAAGATAAGAACTACCTACAGATATAAGTGTACAGTCACAGATATATACATATATACACATACACACTTACACACAAATATATGTCTACACATACCTATATATCTATACACATACAGAAGCAAGTATAAATATATTGACCCACACAGCGACGTAAAAAATAAACAAGCCAAATATAAATATATATACACATGCATGCACATACAAATACACATATGCATACAAATGCACATACATATACATACATACTTAAACATACATACACATATGCATGTATACATATGCGTATATAAACTAAACACACTAACATACATATATACCAACACATATACAAACACACGGATATACATAAAAAAAACATACAAACGTAAATTCACCTATATAGACATATATCTGCTCTACTTTGTATTGAGCACTCTTTTAAGAATAGTAATTTTTGGTTATTGGAATTTATATACACCTGTCATATACTTGGTATATATATATATATATATATATATATATATATATATATATATATATATATATATGCAGACTGTGCAATAGATTTTATTACTTCTTCAACAATATTCGGCTTCAATCACTGTGCCTTTTCTATAAATATTTTCATAGTAAGTGTTCTGTTGTGCTTCCCTAGACTTTATGAATTTAAACACAGTACTGGATTGGCGCAAAGATCTCATCATTTAGCAGTTGAAATGGCTAGATGTAACCGTAAGTTCTATGCTAACAGTTTCTTCTCCTGCACTCGCTTGTGGAACTCTTTTTATTTTTGTTCTTTTATTGTTTTCTCTCCTTGATAATTTTTCTTTTTCCTGATATTACCTCACACTCAGTATCCCCTTGCGTCTTAGTGGCTTTGTTGCCTTGCTTGGGGTTTAATGATTTAAAAAATATGACAAATGTTGGAAGTGAAGGTGTAATATTCGGTTACATCATCATCTGCAAATGTCTGGATTTTAGATTCTTTAAGCATAGGAATATTGGTGATATAAAAAATGTTTATTCTTTGAGATGGTCAGATAAAAAATACCTGTTCAAGAATCTTTAAAACTAAATATCTGATTTATCCCTCTTTTTTTAACACTTTTTAACCCTCCCCCCGCTACCATATTTTGTCGCAAACTGTGTCGGGCGCTCATCTAGTTTTCCCATGAGCACACAATTACTACCGTGCCTTTTGTCTCCATTTTTATGTCGTGTGCACCCAAACCCTGGAATGGCCCGTTGCAAGCTCACAAAGTAATATGAAAGCTGAAAAACAATGTCAAGGTAAGAAATAAACTTTGTCTCCACTATGTTTAGGTGTTTATTCAGGGCTTCAGTTGATAGGTAATTATGTGACAGTCGAGCCAGCTTCCGACGTGTCAAATTAACTAATCAACTTTTACTTTTTAATCTTGCTTCTTCCAACACACTGCCCACCCCAACATTACAACACATTGAAGGTAACTCGAACGAACTGTATTGGAACTACCCACAAAGACAACCCCTGTCCCTGTGAACCGGTGATCCAGAACTTTGCTCAATCCACACTGTGACTGCTAATATAAACACTAAACCGTAAATCATCAAGTTTTATTCATTGCATCAAAAACTGAAAGTTTAATTAATATTTGAATGCTTTAAGGATAATTAATATTTGAATGCTTTAAAGATAAGTAATATTTGAATGCTTTAAAGATAATTAAAACTTGAATGCTTTAAAGATAAGTAATATTTGAATGCTTTAAAGATAATTAATATGTGAATGCTTTAAAGTTAAGTAATATTTGAATGCTTAAAAGATAAGTAATATTTGAATGCTTAAAAGATAAGTAATATGTGAATGCTTTAAAGATAAGTAATATGTGAATGCTTTAAAGATAAGTAATATTTTAATGCTTAAAAGATAAGTAATATTTGAATGCTTTAAAGATAAGTAATATGTGAATGCTTTAAAGATAATTAATATGTGAATGCTTTAAAGATAAGTAATATTTTAATGCTTAAAAGATAAGTAATATTTGAATGCTTAAAAGATAAGTAATATTTGAATGCTTTAAAGATAAGTATGTGAATGCTGAAAAGATAAGTAATATTTGAATGCTTTAAAGATAAGTAATATTTTAATGCTTAAAAGATAAGTAATATTTGAATGCTTAAAAGATAAGTAATATGTGAATGCTTTAAAGATAAGTAATATGTGAATGCTTTAAAGATAAGTAATATTTGAATGCTTTAAAGATAAGTAATATTTGAATGCTTAAAAGATAAGTAATATGTGAATGCTTTAAAGATAAGTAATATTTGAATGCTTTAAAGATAAGTAATATTTGAATGCTTAAAAGATAAGTAATATGTGAATGCTTTAAAGATAAGTAATATTTGAATGCTTTAAAGATAAATTTATGAATTTAAATTTCCGTTCATTTAAAAAAAATGAAGAAAAGAAAAATAATATACAGCATGGTCTCGGGTTACGACAGTCACGATCTACAACGTTACATGATTACAATGCAATCCCCATTAATTTTGTTTCAACTTATGCCGTATGTCTCGTACATACGACTTAAACGGCGCAACAGAAGAATATGGCGGAAGAATACGTTAACTATAAAACCAACTCACATTTGTTATTCTTTCTCCCCCATATTTTCTGCTGTTTCAGAGTACCAAAAGAGAGACAAAATATTACGCATCATCATCTAATCTACCAAGAAACAATGGCATCACTGGCAATAAATATACAAGCAGCTTAAACAATTTCATTTTATTATATGTATTATTTTCATTTCATTATATGTATTATATTTATGACCTTCATGTGTTTTTTAGTTCTAATTATGTTAACATGTCTCATAGAAATATGTTGTTATGTCATAGATTATTGTTTTACTTATTGCATTAGTATAGGTGAGTAACGTAAATGCTTAATCGCGGAAAATCGCGGCTACATTCCTACTTACAAGGAAAAATCACGTTTCGATACATTGTAGGAACAAAACTGTCGTAAGTCGAGGACCACTGTATTTAAAAACAAGTACTTTACCTTTTACAGTAGACTTTTGACTCTGAGAAGTAACGTAATTGTTTTGTATTTGGCACCAGAGTGTAAAGCCTGTTATGTCAGCCTCCTTTACAATGTAATGAACAGAACTTGAGACACTCCGGCTACATTCGTTTTCTTTTATTATTTTGTTACTCTCCAAAAAAATTCTGTTGAAAGGCGTGATCGTATTTCGATACCATTTCACTGAGTAAGGACCATCTTTACTAATGGTTCCTATGCACGTAAATGTATAGAGTCGGTTGACATAAATGCCATTTCTTTCTGTGATGCTATCAATAGTTGGCAAAACTGAAAGAAAAGAAAAACAGTAAAACTAATTATTTTAAAACTGGCTGTCAAAAGTCTTATATATTTTTTAATATTGTTTTATCAACATGACAATATTTCATTACATGTAATATCTACCAATCAGCCATTGGCTAAGAGAATATCCTATATTCAATGCTGAGAATAAAATAGACGAAGTCTATGAACAACGAGGAAGATTTAAGGACATTTGGAGGCTTGGAGAATTTGACACTCAATGTAACTAAAGACCTTGTGTAGATGGATGGCACAACAATGTTTGAAAGGAATAGTAACGGGACAAACATTACTTAGATTTACAAAAATGGGAAGCTATAGAGAGCTGTGATCGTCCGTATCCTGAAGGGATACAATACATAAAATAAGAAAGCCTCAAGCCAATCGTTAAACGCTATTTCTGCTGCTAAGAAAATTAGTTCATTGTGTCTTGTCAAATAATTTTTCACGCCAGAATCCATCTTGCATGTTGCATCTACTATTCAACCATGCATTGAATATTGCTGCCATGCATTCTCGACAAAATCCAAAGATGGGTCTGTAATGTTAGTGATCCTGACCTGATATCTCGGCTTCAGTCACTTTCCCCATTGCTTTTTCTATAAATATTTTCATAGCAACTGTTCTGATGGGCTTACCTTCGTGGTATATTGACTTCTTGAAACTAAGCGCAGTACGAGAGTGGCAACTAGGTTTCATCATTTTACAATTGAAATAGCTAGATGCAACTGTAAATTTCATTCTATTAGTTTCGGTTTCTCCCCTGTCACCATCGATCTTCAAAAATTTAAATGCAACATCAATCGCCATCTTCCTCAATCTTATTCTCATCATTCTTCTTTTACCTCAGTAACTAATTATTTTAAAACTCACACTGTTAAAAGAGAGGAATAGTAACGGTACAAACATTGCTTAAAGCGACAATGATATGAAGCTGTAGATAGCTATGATCGTTCGCATCGTGAAGGAATGCCACATAAATGAAGTATCAAATCATTGCAAAAGTTTGCACCCTATTTTCATTGTTAATATAAATTGAGCGCAACTTGACACTGGCGTTTGTTTTGTTGATGATCTCTAGTCTGTTTTAGATCGAAACCTTTCATCAGCCAATTGTTGACGTTTACTCTAAAGATGGAGTATGAAAAAGTTGCACTTCCGCCATATTATGCTCTATGAATTTTGCAAAGGAGAAAGCGTTGGAATTGCGACAAAAACATTCAGATGGTTTATTTGGATTCTGGTTTGACAGATTTCATGAGGTTGATTTTAACCAAAATGATCAGCCATGCACCGGTCAATCTTCCAGCATTCGCGAAGATACCCTCTTGTCATTGTGGAGAATAAACTGAAGATTTCAGCGGAAGAGATTGCTAAGAGTTTGAAAATCGATATCTCAACTGCCTTTTGACATTTGAAGAGACTAGGGACTAAGAAAAACGGCAAATCGAAAAGCTGTCATTTTCCACCACGACAACAGAAAACCACATGTTGAAAAACAGACCTAACAGAAGCTTAAGGAGTTGAAATGGGAAAACCTCTAACATCCATCATATTCTCCTGGCTTGCCTCTTTCAGCTTTTCATTTGTTCTGGTTTGTACAATAAAAGAACAAAAAGTGCAATGACAAAAATTTGACTCTGTACAGTCAGTCGAAATCTGCCTGACAACCTCCTGCCAACAATTTTTTTTTCAGAAAATGGCACTTGAAGAATGATGGGAGAGAGAGTTGTTAAAACAATGGAGACTATGTACTTGACTAATAAATGTTTTTTTTTGAGTATGTAAAATTTAGTTGTTAATTTTCTAATCGGGCACAAACTTTTGCAATGATCTAATAGAATACAAATCATTTCTCAAGTGCTGGCTTAACTCCACCACCGATATCTCATTTTAATCTTAATTTTCATGTAATACAATATAATCAGTCAGTCAGTTATGTGCTATACGTGATACACGCATCTTTCAATACAGAGGCACTTTTTTTCCCGCTGTAGGTTGCCATTTCTTTCTACGGTAGACCAGAACCCGGTATTCTTCCAACCCACTATTTACCCATAGCTGGTAGGCGGGAGAGAAGAAGAGGATTCATACCTTTTCCAAGCAGTGAATGTAATGGATTCGACTGGAATTCGAACTTGGATCTCCGATTTCTCAATCCGAGCCGCTATATATTTTGTGTAGTTACTCAATTCGTTTTCTATCTATCTACAGTCCGTTTGCTCCCAATGCATTATTCTAATATCCTTTCCAAGTAGATAGTGTTTTCCTAGCAGTTCAAATAGAGCCTTGTGTCGTGCTGTGTCAAATGCTTTTTGCATAATGTATAAAACATGAATGCACATCCTTTTGCATCTGCATATATATCTCGTGTCAGTTCCATGAGGATAGCCTCGCTGTCAAGGTTGAATAAACCTGGTGAGAAGATACAACCTTCGCTCACGTCACGTTCTAACTTTGTGTAGCTACTCAATTCGTTTTCTATCTATCTACAGGCCGTTTGCTCCCAATGCATTATTCTAATATCCTTTTCAAGTAGATAGTGTTTTCCAACGTGCCACTGTCACAATGACAAATTAACTTGTAATTTTTTCTTCTGTGTGCTACGTCCCTTTATGACATGGACGATCAAGGCGCTCCAGAATTTCCTCTCTCTTGTAGCCCTTAGAAGTTATTCTACTTTTGTTGATGCTCCAGTCCCCATTTCCACTATCTCTTGATACATGTTCATCAGGTTATCAGGTGACACACTGCCTTCCTCTATCTTTTGACCGCATTATGCCATCCAAGGAATTTCAGTTGTCTTTTCTCGATTCTGAATATAAGTGTTCTTTTTCTGTTATTTTCTTCCTTATTGCTTATTCACTCTGTCCATAGAATTCTCAATATCCTGCGGCAGAACCAGATGGCTGCTTCCTCCAGTTTTCTCTTTATCTATGGGGAGGTTGTCAAGCATTCACTGCTATATAAGAGGATGGATATCGCATAACAATCCAGCACCCTTTTCTTTGTCACTAACGAAATCATACTGTTTTATAACATTTTGCCTAGCTTTTGGAAGCGTCTTGTGGACTGACTATATCAGCAAAGATATAAAGGATGTCCCAAAATAATATATACACTCTTTAAATATTAATAGTTAATAATACATTACCGTGATGTGAGAACTTATATGCATGAAAATATGCAAAACAGATGGACTGGAAGAAGAGGAACAGCTGAATACCCATCTAGATCACCAGATTTGGCACCCTTAGATTTCTTTTTGTGGGGGTTTCTAAAAGACAAAGTTTACAGCAGGAAACCTAAAACAATTGCTGAACTGAGAGTAGCAATTGAAGAAGAATGTGCTCAAATACCAGAGGAAATGATACTGGACGTTTGTAGGTCTATTTCTTGATATGAAAAGCGTATTGAACAGAACGGCAACCAATTTGAGCATTTGATGTGAACTCATCATTATATGAACATTCTGCCATTGTCCCAAGTAGCTTTTCTCTTATTAAAGTTAATTTTCTATGTTTTTTGTATATTTTACTCTCAAATTCTTTAAATGTGTGTTCTTTCACTTGTATTAATCATATGTACAAGTCAAAATACATAAATTGAATAAGTTATAACGATTCAAAGAGTGTATACATTATTTTGGGACACCCTGTATATAGTGTGCACAGGATATACCTGAGATTTGCTTCGGGAATTACTAGCCTGCTAACCGATTCCCTGTCTTTCAGTAGTTTATTCTCTTTTACAATAAAACTCTCTTTCATCTACTCCTGTGTTGCTCTTCCTTTCACTCGAGTACCACCTTTGTTTGTAACCTCTTTGAGGCTACAGCACTAGTCTAATACTTCTTCGGATATCGGTGTCACATTTCCCATACTCTGTTAAAACACTTCCTAGAAATTTAGCCGTCTGTATTCGCTGGAAGTTGACATCCCCAATTTTGGGCTTTTCTTCTTGCTGATGACCATTACTTTCTTTCTTGCAGTTGACGGTAAGTTTTTTCTGTTTTTTTTTTTTTTGTTGTTTTGTTTTTTTTCTTCTGATCACCCTATGAGGCGAGGTAGCTTTCTTTTCGTGTCAACCATCAACACAGTGCCATCTGCATATCTTATGCCGTTAGCATTAAGTGTACCGATGATAAATCCTGGTAGTTTATCCAGTTCCATCAGGATAGCCTCGCTGTCAAGATTGAATAAAATTGGCGAGGAGATACAACCTTCTCTCACGTCACGTTCTAATTTTGTGTAACTACTCAATTCGTTTTCTATCTACAGGCCGTTTTCTCTCAATGCATTATTCTAATACCCTTTCCAAGTAGATAGTGTTTTCCTAGCAGTTCAAATAGAGCCTTGTGTCGTACTGTGTCAAATGCTTTTTGCATAATGTATAAAACATGAATGCACATCCTTTTGCATCTGCATATATCTCTCTCTTTCTTTCATATATTTCTAATCATGTTCTAAATCTACGCTCTCTTCATCAAGATTTGCATCATTAGTTAGGTTATGTGACCCATTAAACTGATTGTCTGATGGAGCTCGCATTTATTTGTACCTTGTTTCTTAGGTAATTTTACGAAGTTGTATTTATTGACGGCTTCCGGTATTTCACAATTGTTGTATATTTTGTTTATTTCTTGCTGATGACCATTACTTTCTTTCTTGCAGTTTCACATAACCTAATTAATGATGCAAATGATTTTTTTCCTTTCTGTGTTTAGTGTTTGATACCCTTTTCTATACTTTGGCATTGTTTGCTGTTTCATCATCTCTACAATTTCTTCTGTCATCCAGTCATTCATTTCGTGTCTAGTTTCCCATGAGACGACGATCTCGTTTGTCGACGCCACGAGTGTTTCCCTCAGCATGTTCCACTTTGATTTTCATATTCTCCCTAAGATTGTATTACTCTGATGTAGCACGTGACTGAGAGATGATCATTCCCTCAGCAGCCACTTGAATATGTTTCTCTGTCTAGAACTACCTCTCTGGAGCTTTTGTTGACAGCCACATAACACTGGTCACAAACAATTTTCATCAATAATTTTATTATATGTAATTTTCGGCACTGATTTCAAAAATATAATCGTATTTCTTCTATCAGGTACAGTTTCTCTGCTATGTGGTATGCATAAAACTCCGATCAGCTGCATCGCCAATCATAAAATTTTCAGACAGGTAATTATTGATTTGTATTTTATTACTAATTGTATGTATGATGCATTTTTATGGATTATTAAATTTTTCTACGTTCGGTATTCTGTTCCATTCCTTGGTATTGTTTGCTGTCGTTCTTTCATCATGTCTACTATTTCTTCTGTCATCCACTCATTCATTTGTCTAGTTTTTTTTTTTTTGGGGGGGTGATCTCTTTCACCGCTGTCACCAGTGTTTCTTTCAACATGCTCCACTTTCATTTTATATTCTCGTTCACGTTGTATTCGTTTATAATTTTGGTTTTGTGTGTCTCCTTGCAACAGGGATCCTTCGGGGGTATGTCTTATTACAGTTTAGGCGTTGTTTTGGTCTTCTTTAGTTACTGTAGTTTTACCCTGATGTAACACATGATTGGAGATCATTTTCTCCCCCACCCCTCAGTCGTCACGTGGGAATATTTTATAGTGTTGAACTACGTTTCTAATCTTTTGTTGATAGTTACTTAATCAATATGGTTCATCGTGTCTCCTACCGGGTTTTTCCATATCCACAGGTGTCTTAGGTGCTCCTGATGCTGTTAATTATTTGGTTGTTTACTGTGCATCATTGGATCCCTCATTGGCCGCATTCGTTTCTGGATCCTGCGTCTCGTTCTTTCTGACCTTAGCATTCAGGTCTACCATGATGATAATGATTTCTTATGATTTACATAGGATCTGGTTGTTTTCCGGAGAGTTATAGAAGTTATCGAGTTCCTCCTCCTTGCTCTGTTCTGTCTGTGCATATACAATTATCATTGCTATATTAAAGGTTTTATCTTTCAGTTTAACTAACAGGATTCTGTTTCAGATTTGGCAGTATCCTAGAACACATTTCTTCCAGTCGTAATCTAATATTAATCCAGCAACTCTTTCCTTTTTCTAACAGGATTCTGTTTGAGATTTGGCAGTTTCCCAGAGCACGTTTCTTTATGTCATTATCCAGTATTAATCCTAATCCTCTTTCATTTTTTCTCTTTGTCTACATGTATTATCCTGTGTGTATCTGTTACGACATCTCCATTACATGACCAACTAGTTAGGCATATAAGTAGAACTTGGTATTTAATCTATTGATTCCTTGCTTGATGTTGTGTCATAGGCTTCCAGCTTTTATGCTTGTTCACTGGAAAAAGGTCCGGTGGCACCTGTCGCTCATGTCTATCCTTACCAGGTGATAAAACTTTCCCGAGGAACTTAACCGCCTTTACACCGTTATTGCTTATATTCATTTTGCGAACAATCGATGGATGACTGTCTGGTGACATCGGTCGCACATATTTTTCCTTGCAGGTGAAGATTTATCTTCACTGTTTATGTTGCTTATCGTTATGATCATCCTTAGAATAGGTAGTGGAATGGTTTAATATTGCCTTCTTCACAGTGTTTTTTTATTATTGAGACACTAACTCTAGTTAGCTGAATGTTGACTCATCAAGAGTTTTTCCGCATTTCGGTAGGTCTTACTTTCATCTCCAGAATTTGTAGGTACCTTCTTCACACCAGATGAAGTGGAACTATGGAGACAGTTTAGTCGCCGACCATTAGACAATGTTTCCATTTTAGGAAGAAAAAGAACTCTTATTTTCCGGGCTAAGGTGAGGTTAAAGAAAACTCTTTGAGGGTAATAAGAGGGAGGAGTAGAATTTCATGGATTTAAATGTAGTTTACACGAGTACATGATTTTAATTAAAGCTAATATTTATGTAACGGTGACAGATTATGAAGTTTTAATATCTATAAGTTTTGCTAACTCCTAACGAAGTAACAGAGCAAAACAAACTACTATATCAATTCAATTGTTTGTCTTTTTTCCATACAAGTGATATGTCCTGGAAAGGGATATATTTGTTCGAAGTAGCAAAGTGGTTATTGACTACTGTAACCGGGTAGGACAATCTAGCAGGTAACCGTAATGGACTGGTCCTGGTCGTAGTGGTAGGCAATAGGCGAGGACAATAGGCGTTGTCAATAGGCGTAGTCCCTGTACCTCCACATCAGTCTGTATTTATGGCTGACACCAGCCAATCATATTACTGTGAGGGGGAACCCAGGTGTATATATATTCATTACATCAACAAGAAAAATTTGTTTGGTTAAAATTAAAAACAAAAGATAAACAAAGACATAGATGATTAATCAAATAAGTTCAAGAACAAATGGAGTGAAATAATTCTAAAACAGAAAATTAAGCACAGCTCGCACATTAGACGGTCAAGACCTAATAATTGGATATGAAATCAGAGAAACTATTCAGATTTTTAATTATAATGAGCTTGGCATACTATCTTGTTATGCATTTATTAAATTTTTCCAATACATACAACTATTTCTTAAATTATTTAAATACATGCAAACATTTCTTAAATTCTTCAAATATATGTATTTCTTAAGTTCTTTATATAAATACAGCCATTCCCTAAATTCTTTAAATACATAAAAACATTTTAATTTATTTATGTAAATACAATCATTTCTTAAATTCATAAAATACACGCAACAATTTCTTAAGTCCTTCAAATACATATAACAATTTCTGAAGTTCTTTATATAAATACAACCTTTCTTTGAATTCTTAACATCCTTTTAAATTCTTAACAACGATGCTTAACAAATATTAACAAATCTGAACAGAGCTTAAATTCTTAACAACACTTACTTAAATGTGTTATACAAATAAAACCATTTCTGAAATTCTTTAAATACTTGTAACTATTTCTTAAATTCTTTATATAAATAAACCATTTTTTAAATTCCTTTAAAATATACAAACATTTCTTAAATTCCTCAAATATATGAAACATTTAATAGATTAAATAAGTGCAATTATTTCTTAAATTCTTCATATAAATACGACCATTTCTTACATTCTTGAAATAGAAGCAACCATTTCTTAAATACTTCATATGCATATAGCTATTTGTTAAATTTATTAAATGCATGCGAACATTTTTGAAATTCTTCAAATATATGGAACAATTTCTTAAACTGTTCAAATACCTGCAACTATTTTAAAATTCTTTATGTAGATAAAAGTATTTCTTAACTTCATTATATACATGAACAAAATTTCTTAAATTCTTTATACAAATACAACCATTTCCCAAATTAATTAAATACATGCAAAGATTTGTTAAACTCTTCAAACGCATACAATTATTACTTAAATGTTTACTTTTTAATATTTTCTCTTCAGAATCCACACCAGTCACTGCCGTTTCGTATCCTCTACATTTGTATGTTGAGAAGTCGCTGCAGGTTATATCGGAAAAGACAAATGTCAAAGAAATATTTGTTGTTGTTAAACTGGCTTTCACAGAAATTCTATCATCGTAGAGTATTTCGTATGTCCTTTTATAGAACACATAATTTGCTATGGTCTCATGTCTTCCATGGAACAGCGATATCTGGCTGTAGACTGTATTCCAAGTGTGATCATTAATAAAATTACATGTTACCTTCATCCCAGTGGATTTTAGGGTTATTTGTGAAGGCATTATCAACTGTATCCCAACACCTGAAAAGAGAAAAAATGAAATAAATAACTTCCAATAGACAAATCATTTTCTGCGTGGAAAACAACTGACTACACACGTTACAGAGTAGTGTCCGACATCTTTAATCCAAACAATTTAATCTGTTGATTTCGGCATCGAGATTATCACAGAAGTAATAAACACAATATATAACAGTGGTGAATTACCGGACGACCTCAGTAAAAACATTTTCGTTAAATTACCTATGAAATCAAGTACAAATAAATGCGAGATCCATCTGGAAACCACTTCAATATTTGTTGTAGAGTAGTTTCACAATGGAGGCTTGTATTTGTACTAAGTCGGTCCTAAAATAGGTTCGACATACAAAACGTTAGGAACTTGATATAATAGGTAATGACGCAGAGAAATCTAGTCATGGTGGCTGATACTTTAATATCCGACTAACGGTCGTCCGGCATCGACTGACTGACCAACTCACTGAGAGTATTTAGTCACCCCCCCCCCACGAGGGTATCATGTGGCAGAAGACCGGTTTAACGTGGGATCTCCGAGCCCGTAGGCTCGGCCAAAAATATGCCCTTTGAACCCGTATAAACGGGTTCAGTGTCGGTTTACCTCCCCGAAAGAGACTCCGCCCTTCGGCGTAGCTTCGTTCGGGTTCCTCCCCGCCCGAAGGCAGAAAGTTCAACCGGTCAGCCGGTCGTCCGACTTCAGACTGAACTCGGACCAACTCACTGAGCGACTGGCGACTGCTACTACTCCTACTTATTATAGGTGGGAGAGTCTATTAACTACAGAATAGGTGTGTTCCACTATAACAATATTGCAAAGCCTTGACGAATAGAGTGCGAAGCAAAATTAGTTTGGAAAAGTGACAAGAACAATGCGGTTTTGTCAAGAACACTGGATCATGAATTTGCTAAGCATCTGTTGTGTCTACTAAAATATCAAATAATATATGGAACATATTTCACACAATAAAACTTATTTAAACATGAGAAGCATTTTCAACCAATAATAGCCACATAAACATTAAAACACGCCTAAAAATATTTATAAACAAAAACAACAAATAACAAAAGGAAATCAACAACTAAAGGAGTCCTTAGACGTCGGGGACATAGAAATAATTTTCAATCGCAAAAGTTGTTGAAAAATTATTGTTTTGAATAAGTAACCGGCCAGGGGCTGATTGACGTCAGGACATATAAATGAATGATAAACTAAATTTATTGTCGACAAATGTATTTTTTTGAATAACTAACCGCTTTGTTTGAATACCAGTGTTGTTTCTCCAAAATTGGAGAAAATAATTAATTAATATGATTACAGGTGAATCCTGAGGTGCGGTGGGAGTCGGGCGAAATACATATAAACAAAGCGCTTAAGCGACCCAGCAGTTGGAGCTGAAGCGGGAAACGGCAACGGACGCAGACGAGACGCGACAGCAGCAGACGAAGGAGTTACTGAAATCCACGTGACCTGCTGCCGAGAAAATTCCCAGTGTTGATTAAACCTGTTTCAAACTTTAGGAGAAAAAGACCAAGTGTCACTATAGAGAGTTTAATGGGAAATATATTGTGCTAATTTTAAAATACCACTGGATACTACAGTGATACCAAATATTTATTTTCAATTTTCCCTCTTATTACATATCTTTGATCGTTTTTTACCCCAAATTATCCTGTTAATTGGTTTTATGTTCTTGTTAATGTAAATTGTTTTTAAAACTATGTGTGCTGGTAATATCTATTATTGTATCAGTGACATAAGTATTTTCTTCATCTTCTGTGAAACAAATTGTACATCTAACAAAAATCACTATTAATTTTGTAAAGATTATCAAAATTATTGTTTCTATGAAATTTAAAGTATTTTCTGTATTTGTTGATACACGATATTGTAATTGATTTCTGATTGTATTATACAATTATATATTCGGTTCACTAGGTGCCCTTACTTTTCGGCCTTGGAAAATCACTACAATTATATATTCGGTTCTGGGCGCCCTTACTTTCGGCCTTGGAAAATCACTACAATTATATATTCGGTTCTGGGCCCCCTTACTTTCGGCGTTGGAAAATCACTACAATTATATATTCGGTTCACTGGGTGCCCCCCTTTTTACTTTCGGCCTTTTTGGAAAATCACTACAATTATATATTCAGTTCACTGGGTGCCCTTACTTTCGGCCTTGGAAAATCACTACAATTATATATTCGGTTCACTGGGTGCCCCTTACTTTCGGCCTTGGAAAATCACTACAATTATATATTCGGTTCACTGGGTGCCCCTTTACTTTCGGCCTTGGAAAATCACGGTTCACAATTATATATTCGGTTCATACTTTCGGCCTTGAAAATCACTACAATTATATATTCGGTTCACTGGGTGCCCTTACTTTCGGCCTTGGAAAATCACTACAATTATATATTCGGTTCACTGGAAAATCTTTGCCCCTTACTTTCGGCCTTGGAAAATCACTACAATTATATATTCGGTTCACTGGGTGCCTTTTCGGCCTTGGAAAATCACTACAATTATATATTTCACTGGGTGCCCCTTACTTTTCGGCCTTGGAAAATCACTACAATTATATATTCAGCTCACTGGGTGCCTTACTTTCGGCCTTGGAAACTGGGTCACTACAATTATATTATTCTGGGTGTTCAGCCTTGGAAAATCACTACAATTTATATATTCGGCTTCTCGGCTTTCGACCTTGGAAAATCACTACAATTATATATTCGATTCACTGGGTGCCTTACTTTCGGCCTTGGAAAATCACTACAATTATATATTCGGCTCACTGGGTGCCCCTTACTTTCGGCCTTAAGGGAAAAATCACTACAATTATATATTCGGCTCCACTGATTGCCTGCTTTCGGCCTTGGAAAATCACTACAATTATATATTCGATTCACTGGGTGCCCCTTACTTTCGGCCTTGGAAAATCACTACAATTATATATTCGGCTCACTGGGTGCCCCTTACTTTCGGCCTTGGAAAATCACTACAATTATATATTCGGCTCACTGGGTGCCCCTTACTTTCGGCCTTGGAAAATCACTACAATTATATTATTCGGTGCCTGCTTTCGGCCTTGGAAAATCACTACAATTATATATTCGATTCTGGGTGCCCTTACTTTCGGCCTTGGAAAATCACTACAATTATATATTCGGTTCTTACTTTCGGGGAAAATCTACAATTATATATTCGGCTCCCTTACTTTCGGCCTTGGAAAATCACTACAATTATATATTCGGCTCACTGGGTGCCTTACTTTCGGCCTTGGAAAATCACTACAATTATATATTTGTTCACTGGAAAATCACTACAATTATATTGCACTGGGTGCCTTTCGGCCTTGAAAATCACTACAATTATATATTCGATTCACTGGGTGCCCCCTTACTTTCGGCCTTGGAAAATCACTACAATTATATCCGATTCACTGATTTGCCCTTACTTTCGGCCTTGGAAAATCACTACAATTATATATTCGATTCACTGGGTGCCCTTACTTTTCGGCCTTGGAAAATCACTACAATTATATATTCGATTCACTTCCTTACTTTGGAAAATCACTACAATTATATATTCGATTCACCCCTTACTTTCGGCCTTGGAAAATCACTACAATTATATATTCGGTTCACTGGGTGCCCTACTTTCGGCCTTGGAAAATCACTACAATTATATTCGATTCACTGGGTGCCTTACTTTCGGACTTGGAAAATCACTACAATTATATATTCGGTTCATATATTCTTTCGGTCTTTTGGAAAATCACTACAATTATATTCGATTCACTGGGTGCCTTACTTTCGGCCTTGGAAAATCACTACAATTATATATTCGGTTCATCACTGGGTGCCCCTTACTTTCGGCCTTGGAAAATCACTATTCAATTATATATTCGGAAAATCACTACAATTATATATTCACTGGGTGCCCCGGAAAATCACTACAATTTATATTCGGCTCACTGGGTGCCCCTTACTTTCGGCCTTGGAAAATCACTACAATTATATATTCGGCTCACTGGGTGCCCCTTACTTTCGGCCTTGGAAAATCACTACAATTATATTCTGGCTCACTGGGTGCCCTTACTTTCGGCCTTGGAAAATCACTACAATTATATATTCGGTTCACTGGGTGCCTTACTTTCGGCCTTGGAAAATCACTACAATTATATTCGGTTCACTGGGTGCCCCTTACTTTCGGCCTTGAAAATCACTACAATTATATATTCGGCTCACTGGGTGCCTTTACTTTCGATGGAAAATCACTACAATTATATATTCGGCTCACTAAGATTTTTACTTTCGGCCTTGGAAAATCACTACAATTATATTCGGCTCACGCCTTACTTTCTACTGGCGGAAAATCCTACAATTATATATTCGATTCACTGGGTGCCCTTACTTTCGGCCTTGGAAAATCACTACAATTATATATTCGGCTCACTGGGTGCCCTTACTTTTCGGCCTTGGAAAATCACTACAATTATATATTCGATTCACTATACTTTCGGCCTGGGAAAATCACTACAATATATATATTCGATTCACTGGGTGCCTTTTACTTTCGGCCTTGGAAAATCACTACAATTATATATTCGATTCACTTTGGGTGCCCCTTATATATTTCTGGGTGCTTTCTTTGGAAAATCACCACAATTATATATTCGATTCACTGGGTGCCTGCACTTTTGGCCTTGGAAAATCACTACAATTATATATTCGACTCACTGGGTGCCCCTTACTTTCGGCCTTGGAAAATCACTACAATTATATATTCGATTCACTGGGTGCCCCTTACTTTCGGCCTTGGAAAATCACTACAATTATATATTCGATTCACTGGGTGCCCCTTACTTTCGGCCTTGGAAAATCACTACAATTATATATTCGGCTCACTGGGTGCCCCTTACTTTCGGCCTTGGAAATCACTACAATTATATATTCGATTCACTGGGTGCCCTTACTTTCGGCCTTGGAAAATCACTACA